TCACGCTCATCGCTTCTGCTAGGGTCAGACCGGACAACAATGATACGTATTCATCTTCGTTGTTCATCGTCGGGAAGAGGTATTGAATCGAGTGACAGAATAGTTTTTTTTTGGATCCACGAGGACGACTCCTCCACCCGCTCTTCCGGTGGTGGACGAGCCGTCGACATACATTTCCCAAGGTTCGTCGTCCTTCCTTTCCTCGACCCCGGTGTGAACTCGGAGATGAAGTCCAGTAGTACTTGCCCCTTTATTGCTGTTCGGGGCTGGAAATGGATGTCGTATTGACCAAGCTCGACCGCCCATTTAATCATTCGGCCCGAAGTGTCGGGTCAATGTAGGATTTGCTTCAAGGGAAAAGAAGTGAGGACAATCACAGTGTATTTGAGAAAATAAGGTCTCAACTTTCGGGCAGCCGTCACTAATGCATAGGCCAACTTTTCCATGGGTCCGTATCTTAATTCGGCGTCATGGAGGGTTTTGCTGACATAGTAGACTGGGTATTGTTGTGAATCTGCTTCTTGGATCACGGCGGCGCTTACATCCGCCTGGGATACGCCTAGGTAGAGGTACAACACTTCTCCTGGGCGCTGTTTCGGCATGGTGGGCGGATGGCTAAGGGCGCCCTAGATAGCTTCTAGAGCCTGTTGACATTCCGGCGTCCATGCGAACTTGTTGTTTTTCTTTATGGCCTTGAAAAATGGATTGCATTTATCGGTTGACTTGGAGATGAATCGGCTTAGTGCCGCTAACTTCCCAGTCAGGCTCTGGACCCCCTTAATCGAGGTCGGTGGCCTGAGATTTTGTATTGCCTCAATTTTTTCATGATTGGCGTTAATGCCGCGTTGACTAACTATGTAGCCCAAGAATTTCCCGAAACCGACGCCGAATGTACATTTTTTCGGAATTAATTTTAGGGAGTAATCGCGCAAAATAGAAAACATTTTATTAAGATCGTTTACATGATTGGACGCGTACACAGACTTGACGAGCATGTCGTCTACAGAAACTTCCATACTTTCTTCTATCAGACTAGCGAACATCTTGTTAACTAGGCGCTGGTAGGTGGCCCCAACATTTTTTAATCCGAACGGCATCATCTTGTAGCAATAAAGACCTCGTGCTGAGTAGAAGGACGTGTGCTCCTCGTCGTCCGGGTGCATAGGGATCTGGTTGTAGCCTAAGTATGCATCCATGAAGCTCATCAACTCGTGTCCAGAAGTAGCGTAGATCATATAGTCGATGTGGGAGAGCGGAAGCTGTGTTTTGGGCACGCCTTGTTCAGGTCAGAGAAGTCGATACACAAGCGCAGGCCCCGCTATTCTTTTTAACAAGTACCGGGTTGGCCACCCAGGTCGGGTAGCGTACTTCGTGGATATAATCGTTGTCTTTTAGCTTGACGACTTCTTCCTCGAGGGCCTGTTGTCGGTCTGGTCCCAGCTTTTTTCTTTTCTGGATGACTGGACGGACTGTCGGGTCGACCTGCAGCCTGTGGCAGGCGACTTCCGGGTTAATGTCGACCATATCCTAATGGGTCCATGCAAAGACATCAGCGTTGTCTTTTAAAATTTGTACCAACTCGGCCTTCATAGGTGCAGGGAGTTTGCTTCCGATTCTCAGCTGCTTTTGACATGTTTCTTCATCGATAAAACTGACCTCGACCTCGTCCATTGGCTCGGCGCGCTTCTTCATCGATAAAATTGACCTCGACCTCGTCCATCTAACTCATCTTCTTCTTTCATTGGCTCCTTCCCGGCCCTCCTTCCTCGGTCGTAGGTCGACTCAACTTCGGGTTCTTTGTTCACTGAGTCAACACTTTCGCCGACCAGGAGGTCGGTGCCCATCTGACAAACCAGCATGTGGCTTTGCCCCTGGTTGGGTGGTGTCGTCTCGGTATTTGGGCTAGATTTGTCCAAGAAATATGTCTTTTCAGCCTCAGTTCCTCCTGCGGCTTGCTCATTCTCGGCCTCGGTAGTCTTGGTGACTACTTTTGCTAGGTCGTCATCTGGACTTTCGATGGTGTTAATCTCTTCGTGGGGAATGGCGAGGATGCATTCCTGGGCTTCCCTTTGATTTCCCTGGTGGACGCCCTCCCCCTCCGAAGTGGGGAATCGGATGGAGTAGTGAAAGATTGAGACTGCCGCCCTGAGCTTATAGAGGGCAGTCCGTCTTAACACGGCGTTGTACTCGCTCTCACAATCGATAATCTTGAATATTTCCATGATCGTCCTTGCAGGCTGTCCGTCCCCTCCAAACGTGATCGGCAGAGTGATCTGCCCGAGGGGGAGGGTGGTCTTCCCGTTAAAGCCTTGGATCCGATCATTACACAGTTGGTCCTCCTTTATGTCGATCTTCATTTTTCTGAACGTGCTCAAGTACATGATGCTCGCGTAGGCCCCGGTATTAACCATCATCCGATGTACCTTAATGGTCGCAATTGGTGCTGTGATGTCCAGAGACTCCGAGTGCAGATGGTCGAAGAGAAATGTGTCCTCGTTATTGAAGGTGATTTGATGTGTTGCATGCTCGGGCGTCGACCTTGTTGGGATCACTAACAGGCCTGTGGCTGGCATGAAGGACTCGCTCCCTGGCGTACTGGGCTCGTCGCGCATACGTTTTCGTCTGTCTTCAAGACGGCACGAGGTCACCTCGACTCGTGTTGACTCGTCTGGGCAAACGACTCGGGAATGTTTCCTTCCACCGCGGGGATCGGTCCCTTTTTCGGCCCCGAGACGTACTGGCTTCGCCCTGGTGTAGGGGGTGAAACATCATGATTTCCTGTTCGGCACCTGTCGACTTCTTCTGTCTTCGGCGATGGCTTTCATCGTCCTCATCGCTATCCATGTCTTCAAAACTCCCCCGCTTCTTCTCGCCGGGGCAGGTATACTTCTTCACTTGCGGTTCCTCGATTAACTTGAGGAGCGCCGAGAGCAAATTTCTGCATTGGTCAGTGTTGTGCCCATTCCCCTTGTGATAGGTGCAGTACTTTGACTTGTCGAGTTTGCTTGAATCCGTATAGATTGGTTTTGCTTCGGGGATTAGTCCCTTGCCTTTAATTTCTTTGTACAGAGTAGCAGCTCCGACGGTGTATATCCCTTAGTAGCTCTCCTTCAACTCCTCCGTCTTTTGTCTTTTCCGTTCGACCTTCTCGGCATTGTCCTTGCTCGTCTTCCCAGGCTTCTCGGCCTTTAACTTCTGCCTTTCGGTTGTCCTGTCCAAGTTTGGGATGGACATTGATTCTTCGGCCGAGATATAATTCTGGGCCAATTTCAAGAACTACTGGTAGGTGGCCGGTTTGTTTTGGCAAAGCGACCATTTGAACAGTGTCTTTCGTTTAAGACCAGATTGGACGGACACGAGTAGGGTTTCGGGATGGCATTGCTCCATGTTCTGCACCCAGTCGTTGAATCGGGCAAGATAATCCCTCAAACTCTCGTCCTCGCCTTGGACGATGTTAGTGATGGATTCCTTGGGGGCAAGATTGATCTGAGATCCAATGAAATGAGACCTGAATGCCGACCTCAGATGGCTCCAGGTAGAGACGGAATGTGGGTACAAGGAATGATACCAGTGCTGGGCTTTCGTCTCTAGGGTTAATGAAAACATTCCACACTGCAAGGCGTCCGTGGCCCTGTGCAAGTCCATCCACGAAGTATGGAACTTTGATCTTCTGAGGCACGGGCCCCTGTAGGATGTACGGGGAGAGAGAAGATGCGTGGTCCATGATCCGCTGTTCGAGGGGGGGAGGACAGCCTCTCATGAGTCTCGGGCCGAGCTTCTAGTTCAGTGATTCTTCATTTCAAGATTGTAAGTTATCGGAGTCGCGTCTGATGACCTTTCCTCGTTCTATGACCTCCCTGAGGTCCTGGTTAATTTGTATTTTCTTCCCCAAGTGCCGGTAGACCGACTTGCGAGTGTTCACCTCTGGGCTCGGCCCCGGTTGACTTTTGCCGGTCTGCTCGGTGGGTGCCGGTCTGGTACCTTTTTGGCGGACGATGAGGGAGCAATGGGTGGACTGGGTGGTAGTTTTTGAGTGCGTCATCCCCTTACCTTGCTCCTCGGCGTCCTTCTGGTGTGTCTTCAGCAGGGTGTTCCCCGCGAGAGCCTCGGTGTTTTGGCTGACTTGGCCACCAGGGGTTGCGCTTGCGGCATTGCCGCCGAGAGTAGTACCGGCAGCGTGGCCGCGAGCGCTCTTGCGAAGGCGCCCTCCAACACTTTAAGGACGTCGTGGTGCTGCATCACCGAGGCAAATGTTGCAGGGGGGGACAGGTTCCGGTTGCCATTGGTGTGGCATCCCTTCGCTGTCGTGGCGGCGGTTATGTTCGCCAGATTGTTGAGCGGACTCGTCGTGTTTGGGTGGTGTCAATTTTCACGGTGAATTTGAAAAGGAATGACAGAAAGGTAGTGGAATCCACAAACAAAAATTCGACACCAAACAACTTATGAGGCCCTCTTTCTAGCACCAAACTGTTGACGGACGTTTCCGGTCAACGGTTAATTAATTCTTGGGTGAAATTGTTTGAGAGAAGATAAGACGGAAGGAAACAAATTTTTATTAGCCTGTGGATCAGCTCGGCGTTCGACATATGTGGTCGGCACTTTGCTGTAATTACAGGGAATATTATTCTTTAGAGAGAGAAATATATTGTTGTTACAGAGTTAAAATGAGTTCAACTGCCCTTTCTAAAATGACATCAATGAGCTATTTATACTACTCTCAGCTCGGCACTGTTTGGACACTGTTCACGCCGTCCCGCCGCACAGTGGGAGGGAATGACAGATAGTGCCAGACATTAAATACAGTCAGTAGATTGGCCATGATGATCCCTGCAGCATTAAATGCCAGCATGGGGTGCATTAAATGCTGTCAGGTCTAGGCATAGGCTTTTACTTCTTTGGGATAACCAGCTCGTACGAAATGTCCCATCGGCGTATCTCCGCCCCACGTCTTCTACCGACTCGCTGACCCGCCTTCACCGGTGACATCCTTCTATTCGACCTCAGGGTCGCCTGTAGGCCGACATTTGTGGTCGCTCGGTGTTCTCCTTTGTGGGGTCATTCATGGAGGTTGGCGTCGTTTCTACTCGACATCTTGACTCGAGATTCCGGGGCACGTATCCGTTCATTTGGTTGTCCTTGTTGAACCCATTGTTTTTCAACGATTTAGTCTGGGGCCGATTTGGTTTGGTCCTCAGCCGGTTTGTCCCCACCCCCCCTAATTAGGCGGGTAATTGGGGGTCAACTCGGATATCAACACAAAACTTAATCAAAATCTAACAATTCCCCAACTTGACTAATTTTTTCTCCCACTTCCAACTCAACTGCTAGCGGTGCCTCCAAATGCGCCTCTCGGCGCCAACTAAAATATGCAGAATGTTTGTCATGTCTAAACAATGTTCAAACTTGACTGCTGCCACTACCTTGGTCATCATATATGCAGGATTCTTCGTTGTCTTGATTTTCTTCAACACAACAGTTCCATCTTCTAGAATCTCCCCCACACTTGATTTTTTGCTAAGTGAATAGCGCTCTGACTGTCGCAATGCACTAAGACATGCTTTTGACCAACTGCCAAGTCTTCAAGCAAACTTTGAAGCCAAATAGCCTCCTTCACAGCTTTAGTAACCGCCATATACTCGGCCTCTGCTGTAGACAAAGCAACTGTTGACTGTAAGGTAGACTTCCAACGGACTGGAGCTTTTGCAAAAGTGAACAAGTATCCAGTCGTTGATCCTCGCTTATCCAAATCGCCCGCGTAGTCAGAATCACAATATCCTACTACACATTGACCAACTTCATTCTGCTCATAAACTAATCCAACGTCTACAGTACTATGAATGTACCGTAGAATCCATTTCACAGCTTGCAATGACCTTTACCAGGGTAATGCATATACCTGCTAACAACACCAACTGCTTGTGAAATGTCGGGCCTTGTACACACCATTGCATACATCAAACTGCCAACTGCATTTTCATATGGGACTCTAGCCATGTACTTTCGTTCTTCATCACAATTTGGCGATAACTGGGCACTTAACTTCAAATGAGGGGCAAGTGGTGTACTTACTGGCATCGACTCATCTTTTATGCCGAAACGCTGTAGTACCTTATTCAGATATTGCTTCTTAGTCAAACAAAGCTTGCCTCTCATTCTGTCACTGCTTATCTTCGAGTATCTTCTTAGCTTCCTCCAAGTCTTTCATCTCAAACTCTTGATTCAACTGAGCCTTCAATTTATCAATCTCCAATTGGCTCTTTGACCCGACCAACATGTCATCCACATACAAGAGTAAGTAAATGAAAGATCCATCTTGCAGCTTGCGTAAATACACACAATGACCGTGTCTGCTTCGCGTGTACTTCTGCCCAATCATAAACTTATCAAACCGTTTGTACCACTGCCTCGGAGATTGCTTCAGTCCGTACAACGATTTGTTCAACTTACAGACCCAATTCTCTTTTCCAAGAATTTTGAATCCTTCTGGCTGAGTCATGTAAATTTCCTCATCTAAATCTCCGTGTAAGAACGATGTCTTCACGTCAAGTTGAGCTAGCTCTAAATCCAACTGTGCTGCTAAGGCCACCACAATTCTATTGGGAAAGTGTTTAACAACTGGAGAAAACACTTCATTATAATCAACTCCTTCCTTCTGAGCGTAGCCTTTAGCCACCAACCTTGCCTTGTAGTGCACATCATTCTTCTGAGGAAATCCATCTTTCTTTGTAAATACCCACTTGCATCTTATCGCCATCTTGCCTTTTGGTAGTTGCGTCACCTTCCAAGTTTGATTCTTCTGGAGAGACAACATTTATTCCTCCATAGCCCATTTCCACTTTTCATTTTCTAAACTTCGAATTGCATCTGGCCAGTAAAGAAGTAGAGGAAGCAGCTATCTTGTATATACGAATGGCCCGCTATCAGAAACAAAATAGCAATAGCTAAATGATGGTGTGTTCTTGAAAAGTGAAATGTATGTCTTCATCAACAATTTGAAGTGCATAAGCCACCATATCCGCCAATCGCGCAGGTTGTTGAATCTCTCGTCTGGGCTTTCTCAATGCAATGGGTAAATCTAATGATTCTTAAGTCTTAACTTCATCATCCGACGAATCCTTTGATGCTGGTTCGTCGATCATAGCTGGTTGCCTCGTCATCGCATCTATCTCCACCTACTTCGGTGTCAACTCCATCTGTTGGGTTTGCGTCGTCTTAATCATACCTTGTTCATCAAATGTAACATCCCTGCTAAACACAGTTTTGTTTGTCTCAAGACACAAAAGACGATATCCCTTCACGCCAATTGTGATTCCCATGAACAAAGGCTTTTTCGCTCTTGGATCTAACTTTGAATCCTTCATATGATAGAACGTAGGACACCCAAAGACATATAAAGATCCATAGTCAGCAACAGGTTTCCCCGACCATACCTCCAACCGTGTTTTACCATGTTTTGCATATGACGACAAACGATTTATGAGGTGTTGCGCGTATGTTACGGCCTCAGCCCAGTACTCCTTGCCCGAACCAGCATTGGAAAACATACATCGAAATTTCTCCACCAATTTTCGATTCATGCGCTCCACCATCCCATTTTGTTGTGGTGTCTGTCTAACGGTGAAGTGCCTAACAATGCCATTTTTACGGAAAATTTTTTGAAAGGGATCACTTGTATATTCTCCACCATTATCCGATCGTAGGACCTTGATCTTCTTCCAGTCCGGTTCTTAATTTGTGTCTTCCATGTAATGAAGACACCAAGTACTTCATCCTTCCTCTTCATAGTGTACACCCAAACACGTCTGGAAAAGTCATCGATGAAAGTGACAAAATAGTGTCTTCTGCCGATGGGGTCTTAGAAGGTCTCCACACGTTCGAATGAACGTAATCCTAGACACCTTCAGTATTTTGAATAGCCGTTCCAAACTTCACTCTCTTATGCTTTCCCAGAACACAATGCTCACAAAAGTCTAGTTTGCACACTTTGACATCTTTCAACTGTCCTTGTTTTGCCAATGTTTGCAAGGACTTCTCACCAGCATGTCCCAAACGCATATGCCACAACTTGACTGCTTCAGACTCCTTGTTGGTGGAATCTGCTATTGTTACTGTCCCAACGACTGTATCACCTTCATAGTAATACAAGTTATTTCTCCTGATACCTTTCATCATCACGAGCGAGCCAGATGTAGCTTTCATAACTCCATCTCGCAAAGTCACTACCAAGCCTTTGGATTCCAAGGCTCCTAATGAGATGAGGTTTTTCTTCAAACTCGGCACGTACCGAACATCCGTCAAAACTCTGGTGGAACCATCGCGATTCTTCAAACGGATTGAGCCTATCCCAGTTGTCTTACAGGCATTATCATTACCCATATAGACAACCCCTCCATTGATCTCCTGAAAATTAAAGAACCACTCCCTTATGGGACACATATGGTAGGTGCATCCTGAATCCAAAATCCATTCGTCTGGATGAGATGATGAAGGTGAAACCACAAGTGAAAATTCTGAGTCTTCACTTCCACCCTCAGCAACATATGCATCTTGAGGAGATTTGCCCTTCTTCTTCAACTTAGGACAGTCTTTCTTCCAGTGTCCCTTCTCATGGAAGAAAGCACACTCGTCATTTTCAAGCTTGGCTTTGGAACGTGATCTTCCTCGTCCATTCTTCTTTTGGCTCTTCGACCGACCTCTTGAAACCAACACTTCATCTTCTGCTGCTGCATTCTTCGTTTCTTGTTTGTTCTTGTTCCTCAACTCATAGCTATACAGAGCAGAACTGACCACTGCAAGAGTTACATCGTCTTTCCCATGGAGCAAAGTAGTCTCTAAGTGCTCGAAGTAATCTGGAAGTGATCATAACAACATAAGAGCCAAATCTTGATCGCTGAATGTAACGTCCAAGTTCAACAAATCTGCAACCAATTGATTCAATGCAGTGACATAGTCATTCATCGATGTGCCATGTCAGTACTCGAATCGGAACAATCGCTTCTTCATGAGGAGCTTATTCTGGTCGCTTTTCTATAGAAATTTATCCTCCAAAGCCTTCCACAGAGTGTGAGCAGAGTTCTCATCTTGAACGCGTACTTCTGCTCCTTCGACAAACACGAACTAATTGTTCCACATGCTAAGGTTGATATTCTTCCAGTCTTTCTCTTCAACGTCTGTTGGCTTCTTTTCCTCAATCTCAATGTCGACGCCTTGCTGAAATAGACAATCCAGCACCTCGCCTTGACACATATCGAAATGACCGATCCCGTAGAAAATCTCCACCGAGAGTCTGACGTTCGTCATCACCGTCCTTGCCAGAATGAATACAGAGGATGATGCGCCCTTGACCTCCTTGGACATATCAAACCCAAATGCAGTGCTCGTCTCTTCGAATGAGACTGGGATGAACCTTCGGCTCTGATACCACTTGTGGAGGTATCACAACAAACTCAACGAACAAAATATACCCCCCCCCCCCCAACAAATATGGTAAGCACTACTCCAAACGAAAAAATAAGCCAACACAAATAAATAAAAACGAGAAATAAAAGAACACAAAAAATTGATAACGGAGTTCGGCGAAAAAAGTTTACGTATCAGGGCACCACCAACCACAATGCCAAATCTACTAAACTCACTAACAAAATACAACTATGGTTAAATAACCCACAAATTAGGATTTCCTTTTAAATAGAAGAGAATAGAATAAGGTGCAATTGTAACCCAAAGGCAAAGGACCTATTTATACTAATAAGATCCTACACATCTTTGGTATACATTCGATGTGGGACAAAACTTAATCAAAATCTAACAACCACTAGCCGAGCTCAAGAGAACCAGACCCTCCGTCTAACACCACTAGCCGCACAGGGTGGTGGCTCGGTCCCTTAACCCCCACCTCTGCAATAGGAAATGCTGCAGCTGCCAGAGTCCCACCTCACCTGATCACTCCCGCTCTTCACTCCACCACCACAGAACGCCATCGACCATAAGCCTAGGCTCTGCCAGAAGAGGTGAAGCCCCACCAGAAAAGGCAGAGCCCACTAATCGCGGACAAGGAAAAAATGGAGGGACTTACCACCACAAGTCGGAGCTCTACAGGAAACTAAGAGGAAGACACCAATTGCAGGCCAAACGTCGATCGTGGGGGACGCCACCACCAACTGGAGCTTCATCAGCGATTGAAGACCAGACCACCAATCGCAGATAATCCACAGCAACATCGGAGCCGCGCTACATCAGGGGTGTCCGAGCGGTCAAGGATGACCCCTAGCCGTGGAACCGTCGTCGCCAAGGAAGGAAATTCGACCAGAAATTGGATTAAGCGAAGGGCGGAGAATTGGGGGTAGGGTTTATCGCCATAGGAAAGGAGGTCAACGAATACCATTAAACTTCACTCTTTACTTTTTGCCTTTGACCATATAAAACTTTTTCTTGTTCACCATATAATAAGTTTTCTTATTCTTGTTCACTATATAATACTTAATTATTATTTTATTATAAACTTTTTTGTCATGTAATGTCATTATTATTTATAAAGTTATAAAAGTTGTACTTCTTCTTTTTCTTTTTATTTTATATAATGAAAAATATTTAATGCATGTTAGTATTATTTATTTATGTAATCATATAAAACATAAATGAATTTAAAATTAAATAGTGTATAAATATTTTACAAAATATACACAAACGTTTTTCTCTTTTAAATTTAACTTTGTATACTAATTAAACAACTATGATTTTGAAACTATAATTAAACAACTATGACTTTCATCTTGTTGCTGTTGTCCTCTATAATTATTTTGGGTTTACCTGCGCTCTTGGAACCTAGGGTTCCGACATCGATGGCTAGTAATCAGGAGGAAGATTTATCAAATCAGTTAAGGGGCTTCTCACTATCTGAACGGGAAGCAACCTTCATTGATATTGCCAATGACGATATTAAGCTGAGTGCTGATGAATGCAACAGGAGTCTCTTCGGTAATATAGTAGGAGACAGAGTAGCCAGCTGGATTGGGGTTAAAAGAACGATGACAAATACTTGGCGGCTCACTCACCCAATGGAGATAAAAGAGCTCACTCCGAATTTTTTCCAATTTATATTTCAAACCTGAGAAGATTTGGAGAAAGTCGCAAACGACATCAATTGGAGTTTC